AGTCCGCTCTGGCCTCCTTCCCCTTCGTCAGACTATGAGAGAGAGAGAGAGAGAGAGAGAGAGAGAGAGAGAGAGAGAGAGAGAGAGAGAGAGGTTTGTGACATTGGGCTTTGGCAACATTTGGGTTCAGACTTGACATTGGGGCAGAGACATTGTGGGGGGACTATTTTTGGAGCGGTATCGACGACATTTTGAGTTGACAACATTTCCATCTCCTCCCTCCTCCTCATCTGCGTATGACATGTGCCTGGTGCCCTTTGTCTCTGTGTTCAGCGCCAGGCTACTCACACCGTGTGATGATGATGATGATGATGTTCAGTCTGTGTCATGACATTGATTGGGTCTGATTGTTGGAATTTCAGTCTTCCGCTGTGCTATCATTGCTCCTTTTTTGAGAGGTCGGTTCTTGGTGCTGGTGTGTGCCTTCTGGCATGCGACAGTTTGGTATCGGAGAAGACCTGTCAGATGAGGATCTGCCCAATCAAGTTGCAATTTTTATTAATCGATTGATGGATCGATTGATAATCCCCACATTTTATTTTTTTCCTTAAGTTGTAGTTGCCTGGACAGCTGCACCAATCGATAATTAACGCTAATCCCGTTTTTTGTGCTAATCTGCGCTAAGCGCTTATCCGGAAGATTAGCGGTATTTAGCAATTAGCGCCAATGCCGGATTTCGGCACACCCGGGTTTCCCGACCGGGCATGAAAATCTTCCTAGGGCATTACCTAATTACGGCTAGTCGCAATTAACAAGCAAAGACATCCTCTTCTTTTGTTGGTAATTAGTAATTACTGCTGATTACGTCAGTGAATCCTAATTGACGGTTAGCGATTGGCACCAACCAAGCTAAGATTAGGGCCGCATACCTAACCGCACCTAATTAGGGCTACTCACGCAAAGTTAAGAGCTTGCCTTAACCTAAGTCCAGTTAACTGCAACTATCTATGGAAATTCGTTTCTTTTTCAGATGAATGAAATAGTGGCAGACTGCGGTCATCTTCAAATTGCGGAAATTGTTCTTTTTGCAAAAGTAGAAATTCGAAATTCCCCCTACCTTGCCACTTTATTTCGAAATTTTACATTTTCGTAAAATCCGAATTTTATTTTGCTAGTAAAACACACCGTTTCGAAATTATTTTCTCGTTTTTCTCTATTAAAAATCCGAATTTCCGCTAATTTTTGTTCTTTTTCACAATCTACTACTTATATGACTCGTCAGATGGGTATCGAACAACCCACTGGCAATGCCTAACTGACACACTACCGACAGACATTCAAAAAAAAAAACAAAGACGATTCTTTTTCTTTTTCATTTTATTTTTCTGTTGTTTAGTGGTCAGCAAACGGGATTGGACATTGCAGTTTGGACTGTCTGCCTGCCTGCATTGTTCCCCCTTCCTTTTCTTGTTTTCTCTCGGCTTGGTAAGCGGCACACCAATATTCGCCATGTCAGCAAGTGCCACAGCAGCATTTGCCACGTCATCAAGTGCCATGTCAGCACAGTGCCACATCTGTGACAAGGCAGAGGCAGAGCAGCGAGGCTGCGAGAGGGAGGGAGAGTGAGAGCACACACACACTCTCACTCAACTCGACGCAGACTCGACACGACTCGAGGACGTAGACACAAAGTGGCAAAAGTTGCAAAGTCGCAGTCTTGAATTCCCGAACACAATGTGGAAGCATTGTTGCACTGAACACAAGCACCGAGGCTGAAAACTTGGTGCGTGTACTGGGCTTGAGTCCAGACATAAGTACTGGACTCAGGTAACGTCCTGAGGGCGAAAGTGAAAATGCCTCAGGGACAGTACTGAAAATCGAAAGTCTGAGAGTGGGCGCCAGAATGTCGGATGGCACCAAGTGTCCGAAATCCGAAAGCCCAAAAGAAGGAATTTTGAAAACGGGCGCCAGAATGCAGACGGCGCCAATTGTCTGAAATCAGAAGAGCAAAAACAAAAGAAAACAAGAAAATTGTAAAAACAAAAAAAAGAATAAATTTTTCGCAGTAGACCTGAGAGGAAAGGATGAAGCAGGGCAAGCTGACAGTCAATCCTCCACGATGTTGGAGCAATCAATGCTGGTCAGGTGTCCTTCGGCCGGACGGAAGGAAGCGTGGGTGAGTACTTATGAAAGTTATGATATCCTGTTATTCTGACTTGCCGGTGGAATAGGAACCGGACTGATGCTCCCCAGAATGGAAATGGAGCCAGGACCATAAGGGCCTGTTTTTTTTTTTTTTTTTTTTTTTTTTAAAAAAAAMAAATCAAAACAGCCCTGCCGGTAAACACCTGGCTAAACGAGAAAAGAAGCTGAGCAAGAAGGGAACCCTCCAATGCCTTGTGTTCAGTTTGCCAGCAGGGCTCAGTGGAAGCAATGGAGCACAGCCTGCTGACATGCCCAAAGGCAGAGAGCCTATAGGAAATAGCCAGAACCCTCTCGAAACAGATGATGCAGAAGCCTTTCCCGCAAGAAAAAGAGACCTTGCTTTTGGGACACAACTGCCCTAGAGGATGGCCAACCTTCGAGAAGCAGCTATTTCAGCTCGTAAGACAGTACACAGTATGGACAATTTGGAAAAGACGCTGTCAGGTTACAATAGGGAAGAGGCCGATGCATGAACAGGAAGCATGGGAGATCCTCCTAAACCTAATGGAGACAGAGATTTGGGCACAGTGGAAAAGAACACAGCAGCAGATGAGGCAGCAACCGGACCAAGCGCAGGACTTGAAAGATAGATTTGACCGCAGAACCTTAGGGAAGGGTAAAATAGCAACTATCCAGGCCACAGGCCTTGTTTTTTCGTGGAGACAGAGAGGGTGAGAAGGTCGTAGCAAGGGGAATGAGGCTAGCAACAGTAGGGTTTAGGGTTCAAGGTAAAGACCAGGAAGAAGGAATGAGGCAAGGAGAAGTTGGACAGAGGAGAAATTAGGGGCGATTTGAAGGAACGGGAACTTAGATAGAGTTTTTTCCTTTCTTACTATTTGTTCGTTGTTAATCCAGTTTCATTTTTTCAGGAATAGCATGTGAACAGATAGAAGGTAGGAGCACAGGGACCACCCTGCAATACTAGCCTAATCTGGGTAATGGCCCCAGTCATCCGGGTTGTGATGTGGAGGGATTCCCGGCCTCCTTTTGCTCTTTACGTAATTGAAAAAAAAAAAACACAGCAAGCTGGCGGGTGGTAACCCGCAGACCAGGGATCGAGCGATGGCAGAGTCCGTAACACTATCCCCTCCCTCTAGAAGGCAATGTCCCGGCCGCCAAAAGTCATGAAAATAATGCTGAATCCTGTGAAGGACAGGACGGGGCCGATCACTGGGAAGCAGGAAGAAAAAGGGAGAGGGGTATAATGTGGGTAACAAGGGCTGAGGGAAACAGGGTTTGCCCACTGATGAGCTACGGGGTATGCGTACTGATGGACTACTGAGAGGGAACTAATGAACTACAGGGTTAGGAACTGCACGGGAACAGGGTTGTCCTACTGATGGACTACAGGGTTATGATCTGAGGGGGGAACAGGGTTGTCGTACCGATGAACTATTGGGCGAAAGGGTTCTGTGAGCAAAAATAAAGAAAGGAAAATTATTTTTCAGTGTTTGGGGGTTGGGGTTTCTATCGATCCCTAAGTGAATGGGGTTGGGGGGGAAATCACAGGTTCTGCAGGATGGTCTGGGTGAGAGTCCTGAAGCAGGTCATGAAGTAAGCCCTGGTATGGATAGACCGAATGCTGATAATAAATCAGTCTTCAGCAGGCTTGCAACGTGTAGTAGTGAGGTTTCCCGCTTGAAAGAAGTGGTGTAGCAGTCCATCAGATGAAGGTCCAAATGCCAGGGGGCGTCCAGTTCATGATCCTGATGATGAAGTCTGATCCGGATAGCAGGTCGCAGACTGATCCTGATGTCCATGCCAAGAGTGCTGCTCCAGAAGTCTCCAAGTCCAGGTGCCGGCCAATGGGACAGCATGGTGGCCAACCAGCTGCTTAATCTCCTCGAACTGTGCTGCAGCAGGTCATCGTCCTCGTGCGCTTGCCATTAGATCCTTTATCGTAGGGGATGCGCAGGAGCCACAGGTGAGGCTTGGACAAGAGAGATAGCGGATGTGTGTTGCATACCGTGAAGGTACAGACCAGAACAAGAATCGACCTCTCTCACAAAGTACAGATAGCACAGCAGAAGGTTTAAATACCAATGATCCGAACAATCAATGTCGCAGTGCAGCCCAAACATGCATCATCATCGTTCCACGGTGTGAAGGGGCCTGGCGCTCACACAGGAAGAATGCGCCAGTCCCCAACCATACACAGATGAAGAAGAGGGGGGTTAGACGAAGAAGGAGGGAAGATGGGAATGTCGTCAACACCAAGTCTTCGGCACAGGTCCCAAATAATCCCTCGTCAAATGTCTGAATCCCCATCTCGAGTCTGAATCCAATGTCGTCAAGTCCCAAAGTCACCAATCTCTCTCTCTCTCTCTCTCTCTCTTGTAGTCTGCAGGTACTGAGAAGTTAGGCAGGGAGAGGGTGAGGAGGAGATGGTGGACTTAGAAGAGGAAGGACTCTCTCTCTCTCTCTCTCTCTCTCTCTCTCTCTCTCTCTCTCTCTCTCTCTCTCTCTCTCTCAGTCCGGTACTAACCTGTGAATGTGGCGCCTTGTTGCAGGTACCTTGAAGACGAAGCTGGAGCTATGGCGCCATAGGTAATTCTCCCTGGTCTCCGCCAACCATCTCTCTCTCTCCACTACTACTCTAGCTCCTAATAGCGCCCAGCGCTGAAGACTACTGCTAACGCTACTGCTACTACTACTACTGCAGCGCTCCTCCAGAGTGCTGCTGCCGAATACTGAAGACTGCCTCCTGCCTCCTGCCTCCTGCACTTGAAGTGCCTGGGAAGTTCCTAGGAACTACCTCGTGAATGTCTGCAGCCTGTAGGGCGGGCCAGTCTTATATAGTGCTGGCCCGTCTAGGAGGCTACCCTTGCCAATGCCAAAACGTGCCAGACCCTGGCGTTGAAGTTCAACCAAGGGTTGTCTTGAAAACAGGCCAAAATGTCCTGTGCTAAAACCCTGGTCTGGTGCCTAAGTTTCAGGGCAGGTCGATCTTATGAGGGCCTGAAAATGGCCCTCCGTTTCAGCCTGAAAAGACTCAAGGCCTGGAAGACCCTGTTTTAGGCTGAAACAACATAGGGCCTGAAGGCCCTCGTTTTCAGGCTTTCAGGCTGAAACGACACAGGGCCTGTAAGCCCTTGTTTTCAGGCTTTTAGGCTGAAAACGCTGGTCGGGCCTTGCAGGCCTATGTGGCTGCGCAGTATGCCACCCCCCCCCGCCTCTTTGAAAGACCGAGCTTACCTGCGAAGGCGAAGCTGTCTGTCTGAGGGAGGGACCACTGTCCAGGTGGGAGGGGCAGGTCGTGAAGTTCCCTGAGCTAACCTTTGTCGCTCGTAGTGAGCGTAGATCAGCGGTGCGGTTGCTTTCAAATCTGCTCCTGAAATCCATCGAGTGTCGTCCGGATCACAAGCTTTGAATGTAACTTTGTACTGTTGAGGCTTGTTGCCGTACTTGCGATCGGTGATGAAGCGGTCAACTTCCTGATGACCATCCATAGATGGAGGATCTTGCGATCGTTGGCCCGGGAAGTCGTCACTCTTAGCTGGTGTATATGTCGCCAGCTTCGAGGCGTGAAAGGCTGATGGACCGTCAGATGCGGGGGGATGTCGATCACAAATGACGGGCCATCGGGCTCATCGCTCACGGCTGATGTTACGGGCCATGGTCCAAACCACTTGGGGAGTAGTTTGCGCGAAACATCCTGCTCGAGTGCAAACTCCATGCGGAGACCCAAACCAAATCACCGGCGCGGATGGGACATGGCACGTGACGCCTGTTGGCTTGCTGCTGCATGCGAACTTGAGCCTTTTGCATGTTCGCTAGTGCTTGAGCCAGCAATTCCCTGTACTTCCGAACGGAAGCAGGGGAGCAAGCAGCGTCTATGCCGACTGTTCGTGGGAGGAGAAGATCAGCGAAGATACGGCCTTTCCGGCCACCGTGGTGCAACTCGAATGGAGTCACACCGATCGTCGGGTGCAACGAAGTGTTGTAGGCGAACTAGATGTCGGGGAGGTGGTCAACCCAATCTTCCTGACCCGGACGGATGAGTGTACGAAGCATCATTTGAGCGGTTTGATGTGCCCGCTCCGTTTGCCCGTCCGTTTGTGGATGCCGAGCCGAACTTGGTTTCATCTTCGTGTCGGATTCCTGCATGAGAGAAGTCCAAAATGTCGACATGAAGCAAGTGTCGCGGTCGCTGACGATGTCTTCCGGTACGTCGTGGCTGCAAATCCATCCGGTGTGCAAAAGGCGCGCAAGTTCGAGAGTCGTGGAGTAGTACTTGCAAGGGAGAAACCACACGTACTTACTCAAACGATCAACAACCGTGAGGATGCCGTCGTGCGTGAGGCGGTCGCGGGGAAACGGTCCGGTGACGTCCATGGCAATGGAGAGGCTGGGTTCCCGTGGGATAGGCATCGAGCGCAACTCGCCGTAGGGATTGCGGTTGCGGGTCTTGCTTCATCGGCAAACTTCACAAGAGTCACAATACCGAGTGACATCGGTAATGAGGTCGGGCCATCGGAATCGTTGCCGAAGTCGCGATTGACTCCGAAATAGCCGGCGAGTCGCGAGTCATGGTACTCGCAGAGAAGGCGAGTCCGAAGACGACGGTCTCGTGGGACACATAATAAGTCCTTGCCTCGCGAGTGGAGGAGGAAGTACCCGTCGACGATGCGATAGTGGCTGGCCGGCGGGTGATCCGAAGATAGCTGCGCATACAATGTGTCGGGATCCGGATCAGACTCATAGCCCCGAATGAAGTGTCGCTGGATTTCGTCGAACGTGAAGGCATGATGTGTCATAGCGCAAAGATCGGGTCTTCCTGAGAGTGCATCTGCTGCGCGATTGGAGAGGCCGACGAGATGTTTTGGTGAGAAGTCAAATTGGTCGATGAAGTACATCCATCGTCTGATCGTGCTGCTCACCGTATCCTGCGTCTTGTAGTAGGTCAATGGGTTGTTGTCCGTGACCCATGTGAACCTACGACGCCCAAGGAGGAAGTGTCGCCATCGCTTGAGAGCCATCACGAACGCGAGCATCTCCTTCTTCCTTGCATCATCAAGTGAATTGATGGGAGGCACTTTGTGGGTGAAATACTCCACAGGGTGCCAGTCGTCGCCGTCATGTAGTTCCAAGACTGCCCCAATGCCATAGCCGGACGCGTCAGTTGTCACTCTGGTTGGCTGGGTGGGGTCGTAGATGCTAAGGACGGGTGCCATGAGCATGGCCGTCTTAAGTGCTTGGAATGACCGGCGTGCGTTGTCATCGAATACAAATGGCACCCTTGGCGATTGTAATCTCGTCATCGGTGCGGCAATCCTTGAGTATCCGGTGATGAATCGCTGATAGTAGCCCACCAATCCCATGAATGAACGAACGTCGGTGGTGTTCGTGGGCTCGGGCCATACGCGGATGGCCTCGATCTTGTCCGCAAGCGGACGGATGCCTTGCGGCGTCACATAATGTCCCAAGTACTCCAGCTCTTGCCGCGCGAATTCGCATTTGTCGAGGTTGGCTTTGTACTTGGGTTGTCGTAGACGCTCCAAAACGGTGCACAGATGCTCCACACGCTCGTCCAAACTCCAACTATACATCAAGATGTCGTCGAGGTAGATGATTACGAATCTATCCAGCATGTGTCGGAACTCCGTTGTCATAGCCACTTGGAATGTGGTCGGGGCATTCGTAAGGCCAAATGGCATAACCAACCATTCGAAATGCCCATATCGCGTCTTAAACGCGGTCTTGTAGCGGTCCTCCTGCCGGATCTCGAGTTGGTGATATCCCGATTTGAGGTCAAGCTTGGAGAAGAACTTGGTGCCGCCCAGCCGTTCGAGGAGGTCGTCGATGCGGGGAAGAGGGCCGGCGTTCTTGACAGTTTGCGCATTGAGCTTGCGATAATCGATGCACACCCGCAAATCCTTGTTCTTCTTTCGGACGAAGAGAACGGGAGCACCGTATGGCGAAGAGCTAGGACGAATCCAGCCTTTCTTGAGAAGGTTGTGGAGTTGTGCACGTAGCACACTTAACTCTTCCTCGCTCATGCAGTGGATGCAACCACGTGGGGGTACGGCCCCGACCTCGAGGATAATCTCGTGGCGGATGGGCCGATCCGGTACTACTCTGTGCAGGGCTTCGAAGACGTCGTTGTAGGCGTCGAGAAGCTCGGTGATGCGTGGGTCCGGTGATGAGTCCGTCGATGGAATGTCATGGGGCGGGAGGGCGTGGAGAAAACACACCCCCATCTCCTCGATGTCATCCCTGATGATGGAAGCTCGAATGCTTGCGGCGGACACCACGTGGCAGCTGATCGAAGGGTGAGGAGGAGGCACCGTGCATGGGACTAGTACTCCGTTCCAATCACGAACGTGAACGGTGCGGCGGTAGAAGTTCACCGAGTGATCCTCGCTTAGCAGCCATGACATGCCCAAGATCATGTCGAACTTGGTGTCCAAAATGTCGAAGGACACGGCCTCGCTTGCATGCGGGGCAAAGTACACGGGGACGGCATCAATGCACCAGTCGATTGAGTTGTGCGTGTGACCGTCAGCCAACGTGACTTTCGTGGGCTGTGACTTCCTCCGAACGCGTGGCCCAAGGCCTGTGCGTACCATAAAGTCTTGGCTCATGTAGTTGCGAGTAGCTCCGCAATCGATCAAAGTGCTGCAGGTCGCCTCTCCGATCTGAATGCGTATGTAAAACAATGGTGCGTCGATGTCGTCGTGCCGTTGTGTCTTAAATTCACAGTCGATCTTCGCAACGTAGTCGTGAAGGTCGACAACCTCTACTCCGGCGTCCATCAAAGGAGTTGGTACTGCAGTGTGCAAGTTATCCCGCAGGAGGAGAGCACTTGACAGAGTACAAAATGACAGAATGATAATCAGCACCTACACACGAGAGGGGGTCTATACAAGATCAAAGCCAATCCAATGGATCTCACCTTCGTCTCATATGTTACAGACGTTGCCAACGACAACTCACTGTTTCCTCTCCAGCATTTTAACGAGTGTAGGAACACTTATTAAAGCTTTTCCGAAGATGCATAGTCGAGGCCACTAATTAGCGACTCCATCAATCCCTGACGACGACACTCATACATACTTAATTGTTACTGCTCCTTTAGTTCCCCTGTTAACACTCTGTCGTAACATCCCTCCAATATTAATAGCAACTGGTGCATAAAGCTCATACCAACTTCCGTTGCATACCTCGTTCATTTAATCCCTCAGCCTGGTTTCAATCAGTGAACTCACTAATCAATGGTCATTTCTCCCCATCCATAACTTTTGGACAACTCTTGATAGTCAGTGACCCATCGTAGTGTGATCGGACGGAGGGTTGACTGTACTCAGTGGAGATAACGACGAATAGTGACCCCGCTCAGATAGGTACAATGCTCAGAATACGAGTAAACTCAGAGTTCCCTCAAGAGGCTTCATACCTGCCACTCGCAAAGGAGACAGTAAAAAAAAACGGTTGATGTAGAACGGGGGCCGAAGAGTAGAGATGAAACAACATCAAGATTGAGGCACACCAGGCTAGAGAGCAGACAGGATCAAGAAAGGGCGTTTATCGAGCCTTCTCTTCTCGGCGTTGTTCTCAAATGAAAGTTCCCCCCCTCTTTGCTAAACACAGATCACCGCTCGTGTCTACTCTTAGCGCGTCCAATTCTCTGTTCTCAGTTTCGCTGCTACTACAAGTAAAAAGCCTTCTTACCAACAAGACTGAGAGCTCGCTTGAGCACCGCTCTCCACGTTTCATTAACAGAATCACTCTCTTGCATATCAACTCTCTCCGCTTTTGCGGTGCCCCCCCCCAGACGGGTCATTGTTCAGTATCGTCTAGAAGGTTTGGACAGTAATTGCGAGTTGAAATCTTCTTGAGGGCTAAGTCTAACGTGCCTATTCGCGTTCTCGAAAGTAGCGACTCATACTGGAAGAGAAGCGTCGACTCCAAAGGGCCTTTACGATCTCCCTTGTTCCAGGATAGTCAGTAGTGACTACTATACAAAGCGTCACTGTTTCCAGAGTCGGAAGATATCACCCACTGCACACAGAGGTGATACCTTGCACGCGCCTCAGACTCAATTACTCTACAGAAAATGGAGGACGACACAACTCGCTAGAACTGACTGCAATGATAAGGCGGGAATTGTCAGTACGAGTAGTGACACTCGCTCACAATCACCTTCGCAGCGTCGTCATGCATCTGGCATCTTCCACCTACTTATACTCAGCCCCCCCCCTTCATCGTCGCGAAGTCCCCTTTTGTGAATGTTGACGACAACAGAGAGCCGTGCGCGTAACTCTCGTCTTCCCTCTCTCCCTCTCGGTTGTCAATCTTGTCATCTCCCTCGCGATGTCGTCACGAGACTACCTTCATGGGCTCATCAGCCCAACTGACCCTCACTCTCTCTCTCTTGACCGTTGCGTGCACTATTCTCGTAACCGCCCCATTTTTGTCTTGCCAACGCGCTTCCTCTCTACCATCACCGCACCAAGGATGATGAGCAGTAGCCAGCTTACGAAGAGCAGTAGGATGACCTTGTGATGCCATGAATCAGCAACTCTCTAGTACATGGAGTGCATACGAAGTCTAACTTTCTCTCTCCCTCGCATGCTCACACACGCTCAGAGTAGCTGATCATCCCCGTGTAACCATGCATTGTCCGCATGTTGTACACGCGTAGTGACGCCTCCCCGCCTGACCGTTTTTGGAAGGTTGCGGCACATATCACACTTTCGCAGTACTCCAGAGATGGAAGACGAGGCAACCCTTGAACCAAGCCCCACTCAGGGTCCATGAAGAAGGAGATGATCTCACGCTCCTGGCCAGGTGAGGTTGACGTTCATCCTAGCTCACCGTCGTCTTGGGTCTTCTCTGCGTGAGCATTGACTTTTTTTTCTCGATCGCTACCGCCCGTGTGTCTCTCCCTCTTTCTGTTGAGTCCCACGTTCCACTCCTAGTGGTCCCGGCCTCCCCATCACGAGTCGGCCTCTGGGCCACTCTCCACAGGCTCTGTGTATGGGTGGTCCCGACGCCATTGGTCAAGCCCGTGCCAAGACTGAGTCTCCGCGTTCAAATCATTGGCTTCACTCTTAGCCTCCGTGTCCCGATCCAAATGCTGCCGCTCCCTCTCTATCGTATCCGTTGAAGTCTCTGTCTCTAGGTACGATATGGTCACTTTCAGCTCATCTGTGACCCCATCCCGTATGCACCTTCTCTCTGCGCGGTCCCTAGCCTCAGTAATCGCCATCTGCAGTTCGGGGTCCGCCCTCATCTCTCCCTCTTTTCCCCCCTCTACATTTATTCTCAACCTCGCCTCTCGCCTGCCGTAGCTGTAGTCCAGCAGAGCAGTTACCGTAGGCCCATCTCCCGACATCCGCTCCCATCTACAGAGGGATTGGATGCACCTCGGCCTATAGCCGTACAACCCACTGCTTCGCACCATGGCTGCCTTTCCGAAAGAACCCGCAGATACCAAGCCACTGACTCCCTAATAACTATACCCAAACACTCAGAGCACGAGGGCGTGCACTCAGAAGATCTCCCACATTCACCACACTGGCCAGCCCTCTCTCCTTCTGGCTCACGAGTACCAGGCACAGTGAGATAGCCTGAGCTCAGAGTGTGGTGCGCCTTAACTGGCAAGCCCACCCTCGCTTTATAAGGTTGGCTCCCACCGTGATCCCTGTGCTCTAAACGGAGGAGCTACAAACCTGACTCCAGTATTCCGATCTGTGACTCACAATTTAGTGAAAATAAAACGAAAATAAAACAAAAGGGAAAATCAGAAGATAGGACACCAACGGTCATAGCGTGACTTTCTGTGCGAAGTGACTGCCACCTTGGCAGGGGTGGCTTATGACTCTCCACTGAGAGGGTGATAAGCCTCCTACCAATCAAGTATGCGACGTGCTTGGTTTTGCGGTCCAAGTCCGTCGATTTAGGCTCCTTCCCCTCTGCCGGTAGGTGCGAAGTGTGGTAGGTACTACGAGCCCTCTGCCCCATTCGAAAAGAGATTCGAATGGTTCACCGGTTCCACCGTATGCTCTCTGGGTTGAATTGAGTACGCAGTGCGCTTCTGATGCTGTTGAGGCCGCGGGTCGCCCCTCTTTTGGGGCCCTACCGCGCGAAGCTCAGTCGGACAGACCTGACGCAAGGAAACAAACTAAGAGTCAGGCCAGTCTGAACCATCAGACGACGATCGCGGCTCAAAGTTAACCCCTTGGCACCCTGAAATGACAGGCCAGAAAGAAAACTGAGTTTGACGAATCGTGAAAAAGGGAAATTGAATAATAATAACAATAATAATAATATCAAGAGGAAAAGGGAGTTACGAGATCACAAAATACCCTGAACTAAAGCAAGAACTCGGACCACTGCATAAACTCGATGCTCAGGTTTTCCTTTTCTTTTCCACATTTTCCCTTCCTTTGCTTCCCTTTTCCTGATCCTCTTTATTTTAACAGCAATATCCATCTCGCGCACCTAACCCATAACTTGGCGAAGGGGGACTTGGCGCGCAGTAGAAAGGACTGCGCCGGTCCCTTTACCTTCGCGTCCCTGGGCGAACCCGGAGGCTACCACGGCTGCGGGCCGGTTGTGCTCTGCTGTACAGCAGGGCGCCGAGCCTGCGTGGACCAATGGAAAGTCCAGTGGGGCACCCTTTTTGCTGAGGGAAGGCGCCAATTGGCCGGTCCATAGCAGGGTATAGTTCGTGCACCAGAGGGTAGCTGAGGTTCGGGAACATGCTTACAAGCCGCGACACCTGAATGAGGAACTGGTACTGAGTAGGAGCCTGGCGCACGGAGGAGGGCCGGGACGCCGCGCCCTCCGACAGCGGACAAGATCAAGGTCATCCAAGATTGACCGGAACCGACCCAAACCACGGAGATTCGTTCCTTCATGGGATTGGCCGGGCATTATCAACGCTTCATCGGTAGATACGCACGGATCGCCGCACCTTTGTCGAAACTGCAGTCTTTGAAGGTGCCCTTCCATTTCACCGACAAAGTCCGGAGTTCCTTCCAAAGATTGAATACGGTGTTGCTTCTCGTTTTCGTCTCGAGTATCTACGATCCCACCTTGTCAATGAGAGTGACCACATACGCTTTCGGCTACGACATTGGTGCAATTTCGGAACAACACGGCGGAGTAGATTGGCATCCGGTTGAGTACTTCAGCCAAAAGGTGCCTCCCATCAACTTGGTTGATGATGTGTGGAAGGAGGAGTTGCTCGTGTTTGTCACGGTACTGAAGCGTTCGCGACACTTCCTCCTCGGGCGTCATAGGTTCACTTCGGCAACAGATAACAACCCATTGACCTACTACAAGACGCAAGACACGGTGAGTAGCACGATTGCTCGGTGGGTGCGCTCTCACACCGAAGCACATTTCGGGTCTCTCAAACCGAGTCGCATATGCTCTCTTGCGAAGATCGGATCTTTGTACAGCGATCTATCACGTGTTCGACTTTGACAACGACCTTCATCAACATTTTGTGCGTGCATACAAGTCGGATCCGGAATATGCCACTCTCTACGAGCAACTTTCTTCGGATCACCTGTCGACCATCACCGACGGCTACTTGGTACTCCATTCACGAGGCAAGGACTTACTATGCGTCCCACGAGACCGTCGACTACGGACTCGCCTTCTCGGCAAGTACCACAACTCGCGACTCGCTGGCCACTTTGGAGTCAACTGTACGATCACAAGACTTCGACAACGATTTCGGCGGCCCGACCTCATCACCGATGTTACTCGGTATTGCGAATCTTGCGAAGTTTGCCGACGAAGCAAGCCCCGCAATCGCAATCCCTACGGCGAGTTGCGCCCGTTGCCTATCCCTCGAGAACCTAGCCTCTCCATTGCTTTGGACGTCACTGGCCCATTCCCCCGTGATCGCTTCGGGTACGACTACATTCTCACGGTCATTGACCGTTTGAGTAAGTACGCGCGATATCTTCCTTGCAAGTATCACGGCCCGACTTTCGAGCTCGTGTGACTCTTGCACATAGGCTGGATTTGCAGCAACGGTGTTTCGGAGGACATCGTTAGCGACCGCGACACGCGATTCATGTCCGCATTTTGGACTTCTCTCATGAAGGAGTCCGACACCGAGATGAAACCGAGTTCGGCTCGACACCCACAAACGGACGGGCAAACGGAGCGGGCACATCCAACTGCTCAAATGATGCTCCGCACGCTCATCCGTTCGTACCAAAAGAATTGGGTTGACCGCCTCCTCGACATTGAATTCGCCTACAACACGTCGCTGCGATCGGCGTGACTCCATTCGAGCTGCACCACGGTGGCCGGAAAGGCCGTATCTTCGCCGATCTTTTACGCCCCTTCACTCCCGCTTCCGTTCGGAAGTACCGGGACTTGCTGGCCCAAGCCCGCGCAAACATGCAAAAGGCTCAAGTCCGCATGCAGCAGCAAGCCAATCGGCGTTGCGTGCTATGTCCTATCTATGTTGGTGACTATGTTTGGGTCTCTGCGAAAGAGTTGTGCTCGAACAAGATGTTTTGTGCAAGCTACTCCCCAAGTGGTTTGGACCTTGGATCGTCAGATCAGCTGCGGGCGACGAGCCCGATTGCCCATCACCGCCGAATCTACTGGTCCACCCGGTCTTCCACGCCTCCAAGCTGACTACGTATACACCAGCCAAGAGCAACGACTTCCCGGACCGACAATCATAGGACGCTCCTTCTATGGATGGTCATCAGGAGATCGATCGCGTCGTCACGCACCGCAAGTACGGCAACAAGCCGATGCAGTACAAGGTTAACTTCAAGTGGTGCTACAGCAACACAATGGATTTCACATGCAGACTTACAAGCCTCCGCACTGCTTATCTCCGCCCACTACGGGTGACAACGACTATCTAAGGAAGCTTCTCAGCCTGCCCCTCCCACCCGGCCCTCGGTCCCTTCCTTTGACAGACAGCTTCGTCCTCGCCGGTAAGCTCGGTTTTTTAGGGAGGGGGGGTGTGGCATACATTGTTCCACGCGGGCGCTGCTGGCCCCGACCAGGTAGGGATAGGGGTTAGTAGGCGTTCAGTAGTCTGGGATAGTGCCGTTTCAGAGAAGAGACAGAGAGAGAGAGAGATCTTCTTCTTCCTCCTCCTCCTTCAGTCCTTCACTTCTTTTCTCCCTCCAGTGCTCTGGCTCCCTTCCCCTTCGTCAGACTATGAGAGAGAGAGAGAGAGAGAGAGAGAGAGAGAGAGAGAGAGAGAGAGAGAGAGAGAGAGGTTTGGACATTGGGCTTCCGCAACATTCGGGTTCAGAGTTGACATTGGGGCAGAGACATTGTGGGGGGACTATTTTTGGATCAGTATCGACGACATCTCTTTCCCCTTCGTCTCTCCTCCCTTCTCATCTGTGTATGACATGTGCCTGGCGCCTTCATCTCTGTGTTCGGCGCCAGGCTACTCACACCGTGTGATGATGATGATGATGATGATGATGATGTTCAGCCTGCGTCACAACATTGATTGGGTTTGATTGTTGGTATTTCAGTCTTCCGCTGTGCTATCATTGCTCCAATTTTGAGAGGTCGGTTCTTCGTTCTGGTCTGCGCCATTTGGCATGCGACAGCTGTAGATGTCTACTGTAGGTTCTACAGGGTGACTGGCAGCAAACAACAAAAATGATAGAAACTTGGTCTTGCTGCACACTTGGGTCAGGTCTCGGGTTTGAATCCCCCTGAGCCCAACTTTCCCTCGGCCTCAGTTAGAAGTTTCTTGAGAACATGTTAACAAATCTGCAAACTGAGCAGGGTTCCCTGGGCCGTTACATGGGGAAGCGTGGGTAAGAGTTGTATTCAAGTTATCTGGCTTGCTGGTGGAATAGGAACCGGACAGACTCATTAATAGGCTGCCAAGAGATTTTGAACTGAGGCCGAGGGAATGTTGGCCTTAGGGGGGTTCTAACCCGAGACCTGACCCTGGTGTGCAGCAAGCTGCCAGTCAGATGCCACCTGGGAGTAAGCATACTGTCAGCTGCTGTTGGACACAGGACCCTGTAGGACCGACGGTAGACATCTAGAACTCTCTAGGCCAGAGCTCTGTAGGACCCAGAAGGCCCAGGAAAAGATTGGCACAAAAAGAAAATGACGAGCTAGAGCAGCATTCATTCAGTTTCCGTTCGTGATTTTTGTTTTGTGGAGTCCATGAACAAAATAGACATCTAGTATGCAAAATATGCAGTAACTCCAGCTGTATTCAGTTGCTTCTTCTCCTTTGCTGTTGAAGGCTTCTCTCATAATCTGCTACAACTCGGGGTGCTGGCTCCATCAGGGTAACACAGCATCAATTTGGAAACGTGGAAAACAGGGTAAGTTCTCAGGTGGGGTGGCACATCAATCAGGTAAGATGGCCCTATTATCCTTTTGTCCCCAACCACCTTCAATATCTCCTAAGGCCCACACTACTTTGCCAGAAGGTTTCTGGCTATCCCTTCCTTTTCTCAATTTATGCACATCATCCTTGCACAGGGGCCATAACACTGCATCAGGTGGGGTGGCACATCAATCAGGTAGATGGCCCTATTATCCTTTTGTCCCCAATCACCTTCAATTCCTCCCAAGGCCCACACTACTTTTGGCAGAAGTTCTCTAGCTATTCCTTCCTTTTCTCGATTTATGCGCATTATCCTTGCACAGGGGCCATGCTAATCTTCTCTGTACTTGTTCCAATTTTAGTGGATGTAGTCCTTCCTCTTTTGTTTGCTTTCGAGTTCTTACCAGACTGTTTGTCTCAGTGAATGGTTTCACAGACACACTTTTCAATTTCATTGTGGTTCACACGATTGTTTGTCTTAGTGCACAGATGGGCTTCGGAATACAGCAGCTAGCGGATGACCTGAAAGCTATGGCTGGGCCTCGTGGGGATGTGTGGGTCATCGGCTGCCAGAACGCTGGCAAGTCATCGCTCATCAATGCGCTTGGGCGAGTCAACAGCTCTGAGACGTACGTGTCTGCTCTGACAGAGGCAGCTGTTCCAGGGACGACGATTGGCGTTCTCGAGATTGATGGCGTTTTGTCAGGAAGAGCACGGCTTTATGACACTCCTGGCCTGCTGCACCCTCATCAAGTACGCTTACATGAACGGTTATGGCTCTCCCTTTACTTCTTTTTTCATAAGACAAAAGGGCGACGGCCTTGAACTGATCGTCCCCAGGTAATTAAGAAACGGTTGATTTATCAACGGGCCTAGGTCAGTTGGTACACCCATGAGCTGTTGACATACAGACCCAAGTTCGAATCCAGATGCAATCAGATGGACAGAATAAAATACTTCTGAATTAACTGGGCAGGTTAGCTCAATGATGGTACATCAAGGTCGTTGCCCTGTCAAAAAAAAAAGAAGGAAAAAAGAAATGGTTGATTTTTTTTTATTATTATTTTTTTTAAAAGTAAACAAGGGGATGCCCGCCGCAGATGCGGCTGGGACTAAGAGCAGGGGAA